AAAAGCTTTAAATTTTATTTTCCTTTGTTTCGCCTGTCTGTGAAATGTAACACCAATGAGTCATTGCTTACACAGCTGGGTGACCTTGAACACAGCTGGAGTCCGATTTCCCGGGACATTCTCGTAGACATCGCGGGAGGACAAGGGTTTAAAGTAGGGTGACTTCAATTTGGCGGTATATTTTTAAATATTTTAAAAAATATATAATTTTTATTGCGATTTATGACCCCCCCTAATTAATTAAACTTCTATATAATAAAATCTATTAATTAAAAAAATTAAAAAACTATCGGAAGTCGTTTTTGACATCAGAAAGCAGCTTTAAATAACTTTACCGAAGGAAAATCGGTGCGCTACAACTTTAGAATGATAAATTAATTTTGATAAAAAACTCCCATTAAAAAAACATTAAGCCTTAATCGAGCCTTATCAAAGGTTCATTAAAATCGCGATAAAATTTTTTCGCGTGCGCAAAAAATTCTGAAAAAATTTGGGGACCTAAAAAACATTCCAAAAATTCAAAAAAAATAATTTTTTCAAAAGTAGCCTTAACGATGTAACGCTATAAAACTTGCTCGAATCACACTCGAGCGCGGCTCAGAAGGGGTTAATGAAGAAGGCAGGTGTGAGAGAATAAAGACACATATTAGAAGAGAGACTGGCGGCTTCCCCGGCAAGGAAGTCAGCCCTCTCATTGCCAAGCAGTCCCGCATGACCTCTAATCCATGAGATGGCGAAATCGTTATTAGAGGCGGCAATGCTTGCTTGAATCTTGATGACAAGGGGGTTCTTAGGCAGATGATAATTGATGGCATCAATTGTAGATCTGCAGTCTGTAAAGATGTTGATCCTGTTGTTGCTTTTGTAGTTGTTGCACCACTCAATAGCCATCAAGATGGCGGTGAGCTCTGCCTGATACGCCGAGCAGTTTGAGGCAAGATGACCAGTCTCACAGTAGCATTCCACACCATCCTGATACACCACAAACGCACTACCAACATTCTCCTCAGACTTAGAGCCGTCAGTATAGATGGTTAAATCTTCATGGTCAAGAGGCTGGTTTTTGATTTGGGGTCGAAGAAAGGGAGGAAGTAGATCTGACAGGTGGCAATTAGTCTCATAAGAGGTAAATGATGATTGATTGGCCAGACAGATACTGTGACCCTTGCGAAGGTGCCAACCTTTGGAAGCCAATGAAATAGCAAGGTCAATAGGCATTTTACCAGAGATGACCTGTAAGGCAGCCGTGGAGGAAGTAGAAAAGGCACGGCAGATACGAAGAAGAGCTCTGCGTTGTGCACTACGGAGTTTCTGTTCAATGTGCATACGGCCTAAACAGCCAGCCCACACTGGGGCGGCATAGCAGATCATTGGTAGAAAGACACTGTCATAGATTATAGAAAGAATAGCTGGGGAAAGCCCCCACTTTGACTTTGCCACCTTGGAGACAGTGTTGAATAGATGGTTAGTCCTGTCGGTTATATAGGCAATATGGTCAGCCCAGTTTAGCTTGTGGTCGATGATGACCCCTAGATACTTGATAGTGGTAGTGATTTTGATAGAAACCCCATCCATTTTTATAGTGGGTGGCCTCCGGTAAAGATGAGGTTTACCGGGATTCGTAAAAACTATGCCCTTGGTTTTGTTGGCATACAGTCGACCCCCCATAACACTGTTGATAATTCCGTTTTATATGAATTCCATGTTGTACGAATCACTTAGATTTTACAAATACGTGTGCCGGGCTGTGAACAGCTCACATATTTGTGAAATATAAGTGACTTGTACAACATGGACTTCATATAAAATGGAATTATCAACAGTGTTATGGGGGGGTCGACTGTACTGGAATTTTTATTTCTTTACAAAAAATTCCTTATGTTGGTATTGAAAATAAAATTTCCTCAATATAAATATCATCTTATATACTGTGTACATATATTACATAGAGTCAAGCCTCAATATACAGGGTCCACCATGAACCTGACACATTTGAAACTGTTGTAAAAAATCTACTGCTCAGGAAGGATGTAAAGTAATGCACATTTTATGATGAAAAACTCAAAAACTTTTATTGAAAAAATCAGTGAACCTCTACACAAGCTCCTTTTGTTGCCCATAGAACATCGAATCTATACTCTATTTTCTGCCAGGTTCTTTCAAGCATCTCGGGCGTGACGGCAGCAACAGCATCGTGAATGCACACACGAAGATGTTGAAGGTCATGAATTTTGACAACGGTGTAAACCTTGTCCTTGACAAATCCCCAAAAGAAAAAGTCTAAGGGCGTAATATCCAGCGATCAAGAAGGCCATGGTATTGGTCCTCCACACCCAATCCAACAGTCGAAAAACTGTGTGTCGAGGAAACGTCAAACATGCAGACTCCAATGTGGAGGGGCACTGTCCTGCTGGAAAATTAAATCTGGCTGCAAATGCATGATCTGCAGTACAACAAATTGTTCCAGCATTTCTAGATATGTAATGCCAGTCACTGTTTTTTTCAACGAAGAAAAAGAGACCAATGATTGAATTCCGCATCAGTCCACACCACACATTTAATTTCAGGCTATCACAGATGTGCTCTACGATGCAGTGAGGATTTTGTGATCCCAAATTTGAGCATTATGTATATTCACTTTCCCAGATAAGTGAAATGTGGCTTCATTGGAAAAAACAATGTGTGATAAGAAGGTTGCGTCTTGATCAATGTACCTTAGCATGTCAATAGCAAACGACTGCCTCTTTATGCCATCATCAGGTTTAATTTTGTGCAGTAACTGCAGTTTGTATACATGCAAACGAAGTCTGTGGTGAACAGTCGACCTTGGCATCCGAAGTTCTCGTGCCACTTGTTGTATGGACTTCCTTGACTTCTTTGAAACGTTTCTCTCACAGTTTCCACGCTTTCATCAGGCACCTCCAGACTTCCACCGCCGTGTGATTTTAACATGGTTCCCTTCATCAAGAAGTGTTGTTTCCATAACTTGAGAGTGTTCCTCGAGGGTGGCACCTTGCCAAACATGCAACAAAAGTTCCGTTGCACTTGAATCACGGAATTTGTTTCAGCGTACCACCACACAGCTTGTGCCCGCTCTTGTGGAGAAACCATTTTGCGTTTGACTACTGCCACATCACCTACAGTCACTTTGGCAGGTTTTCAAAATTACCTATACAACTAATATGCTTTCATTAGATGTGCCTAAATTGCAAAATGCAGATGTCAATGGTAGCCTACAAGATTCGTTAGATATATACCTATACAACTTCCACAGTTTCTCTGCCTAATGAAATGCAAGACATCTGATTACTGCCTTGCACTTCAATATGGCAGTCGAAACAAATGTGTCAAGTTCATGGTGGACACCCTGTATAGCACCATCCTTGTCAACAAATAAGTGAATGGATCTTCAGGTCTTGAAGGGTGACTTTCCCAATAAGTATTAAATAGTAAATTATCAGCATCTGTGAATTACCAAATATAAGATTTTGCATCAAAAATGACTAGTCAGAAAACTGCATGACTTTTGAACTCTCAAACTTGCACTTCTATATAGATCTCATTACTAAACCTAATTTTCATTGTTTGAAGTACAGTGGTACCTCAGTACTCAAACTTAATTTGTTCCAGAAAGCTATTAAAGTACCAAACAAATTTTTCCCATAAAGAGCAATGTAAATTAGATAAATTTGTTCCAGACTCCCAAAAATGCCCTTATAAAAATATTTTAACTAGAATTTAACACAATTTCAACAGAAAGTTTATAAGTCTAGCATGCCTAGATTATTTTAAAAAAAGAAATCCAAAAGATGCAAATAAATGAGACAGTTTACAGCAAAGTTTAATAGAGTTATGCACTGAACAACAGTTACAAGAAAACTGACGTCCTTTGTTTCACCCATATGCAATACAGAATAGAATATGCTTATTAATTTTATTAGGTTGGATGGAAAATTTTTGTATATAACAGCTGTCATTACTTAACACAGATGTGTGATTTAAGTGTAACAGTTGTAAACTAACACATTATTTCTAATGTTAGATTGTATTCTTTGCTTAGCAATAATTTTGTCTAACTAAGACAGGCACCTCTAGGACTTCTTTTTATTTGTAATATAGTTACTCATTTTTATCATAGAAAATTTTTTATAGATGACAAAATTAAAGCTAAAATAAAATGTATTATTATTATTAAGTAAATATTTGTTCTAGCAGGTCATGTTTGTTCAGTCGAATGCCAACTAATTTTTTTTGCACAGATGTTTGAATACTGAATTGTTTAAGTTGAGGGTAGTTTGAGTACTGGGGTACCACTGCACTTCAATTTAAAGACATATTTGATTTACTGCCAATTTCAGAGGTGGTATTATATCAAGGTTTAACTATATATATAAAAAACATTACGTGAAAGGATAGGAAGATGAGGAAAGTCTTCCAAACTGAAAATTCAATCACTGTGTTTATATGTCTGCTGTCCTATAGATCAGTGGTCTACAAAGTGGGGTAAGCATATCTCAGGGGGTACTCAAAGTGATACTGAGGTATACCAAGTTTTCCTTCAAAATACTTTGTGTATGTCTTCTCCACAGTCTGTCTAATCTTATAGTTATCCTCCTGAAGAAGTAGGCTCATGATTTTGCTTATTATCAGCCATTTTAATTTAGATAGTGTTGAAATGTTAATCAAAAACAGAAAAATAGGATGTTCAACTTGAAATTCAATTATAAACAAGTCTGTTTTGCCATAAAATATTTTCAATATGTTTCCAGCTAAATTTTCAGGTATAATGTTTGATATATTTTATGTTATATACAAGGAATACAATTGGAGAGAAATGCAATTTTGTACAAGGAATGTATTTTTAATCTATCCAATTACGTGTACAAATTTCCAATTAAATTTAAGTTTTTTACTATGTACAAATTAATACTAATTAACCGTGGTAGCTTTCTAAATATTAAATAAAACATTTTTTAACAAAGGTAATTAAAAATACTTACATGTTTGCTCAAACTTGGACTGTTGCTATCAATGTCATAACTGCAAAATAATTTCATTATATGTTGTTGACATTCAAAGTAAATTCCATGCAGAAAAAATTATTTTTAGGTAAGAATAAATAAAAAAAATTAATGTTATAAACTAAAACAATTTAAACATTCTCAATACAAAAAATAAGTAATGTTTTGAGTTGGAATGGTTTATAATTTCAAAGCAGACTTCAAAATTTCATTTATGTAAATTGATAATGCACAAACAACTATTTCATTATTTACAGATTATAATTTATGTTAATAAGTTTAAAAAAAACACATTAATAAATTCCTGTATTTTATAACTTGTTATAAATTAATTTATATTTAACTTATGTAAAATATACAACATACACAATTGCATAATTTACTGCAATGCTTCTCTCTCTCTCTCTCTCTCTCTCTCTATGATAATGACGACAATAAAGAATAAGAGAGGATAATAGAGATATAAAGAATTTACTTTGAATAAATTGGAATTTATGGACTAAATTAATTTTTAGATTTATAAAAATTCTGAACAATTATATTATCAGAGTTGTCAGTTTTTTTACTAATTGTTAAAACAATTAATAACAGAACTGAATTTATTCTGAATCATTACTTCCATTAGACTTTTGAAATCAAGCATGAATCTAAAATAGGATTTCAGGAAAAAAAAGCCTGATAAATATAACAGAACTGTTAAATCATCATTGTATATTATCAATGTCTATCAAACATACAGTTTTGAAGAATATTTCAATGTATTAAAAAGATTAGAAAGAAATACAAGATCAGAAAATATGATAGAATATTTTATTAAATTAATATTTATCATACTAAACAGTTCTAATCTTCCAAAGTATCATCCTTTTGCTATTCTAAATCAATGAAAAAGTTTTAAACCCTGAAATAACTTACAATGTTCGCTTGATTTGATCTGTAAATGATGTGCAAATCAATTTGTAGAAGTTTGTTAGAATAATGTTTATACAGTCGACCTCCCTATAACACTGTTGATTTTTCCGTTTTATATGAATTCCATGTTGTACGAGTCACTTAGATTTTACAAATACGTGTGCCGGGTTGTGAACAGCTCACGTATTTGTAAAATCTAAGTGACTCGTACAACACAGAATCCATATAAAATGGAAAAATCAACAGTGTTATAGGGAGGTCGACTGTATTAAACATTTGAGCAAATTAAAAATAAGATTTGAGCCTGACAATTATCACTAAGATAATAAAAAACTTGCCATTGTATTTCAGATTATCTGATATATTCAATGCCATAACTGGCAGAGTAATAATGAGTGTCCATTGAATTGAACAAAAATTTTACCTACAAGTAGAAGACTGTTATACTTTTGAAGCATTCCAAATGTCATTCCTCAAGTCTCTCATAGAGTTAAGATATATGCATTTATTACAACAAAGACTGATATAACAAGTATTGCTGGTTCACAATGGTACTCCTTGCAAATAAACTTTTAATTTGATCATCTGGTATTAAAGAAACAAATGCAAATTCTTATTGCATTTTAGAGAACAATTTACTCTGTGCCAACAAGAATGTGGTGCAAACACTAAATAAAATTAAACAACTACAAACCTTTTACGGTACGATATTAAATACTATTAACAAGAAAAATTCCCACAAATGTTTTCGAATTGATTTAAGGTTCTTCATCAGGTGAAAAAATGTAATTTCGTAAAAATTATTCAATGGAATACAAAATTTGAAAGAGATTCGATTATCGAAATCGATGTATCCTGCGGCTGTCGTCATCATCAGGCATGCGCATTCTTCCGAAGCAAAAATTTTTTATTTATATAGAATTTTGTCCATCGTATATAAGTGTTTGCCACGCTAGGGATAGAGACAATTCGTCCTTATTGTTAATACACTTGTTGTCATGGGCTGCTTTGTATATACAAATTGCTTCGATCCATCTCAAATGCTCGGTATGAAGTGTGGTGTGGATGATCCTGACTTCGTTAAATACTGGATGGATGTCCGGATCCGTAGCATAACGAGCCAGTGCAGTAGTTACTCTCTTGTGCTGTATGTCAGCCTTGTGTTCCTTTATTCTGACACCTAATGAGCGCTTAGTGGAGCCAATGTATAATAATTCGTCATTACACCTATGATCATTCAATGGGATGACATATACTCCCGATAGCATGTCATTGTTGGGAGCATCCTTAGCATTACAGAGTAGATTAAAAACAGTAGGACATCTCCTGTATGCGATGCTGATATGTTTCTTTTTAGCAATCTCAGAGTACAGCTTATGTAAATACGGGTTGTAGGTGACAGGAACTCTGTCTTTAGGATCTGGTCTTTCTTCTTCCTGCAAGGTAGCTTGTGCAGATACTTGTGGATGATGTAGTTTCCTGGACAAGTTATTTACAAGGTTGTGATATCCATGGTGTTTTGCTATATTAGATATGGTTCTAAGCTCAGATTCTAGAGCACCCGTCGTTGAGGAATGAGTGTAGGCTCGCTTAATTAAAGTGTTGAACGCTGCCATTTTATAATGAAAAGGATCACACGATCCTATTGGTATGTATAGCGGTTCTGCATTAGGTTTTCTGTATACCTCCGTGCGGATCATCATTCCATCCACATCAATGCTAATATCTAGAAAATGAACATGTGTGTCATGTGCTTGATCAAGCTCCAGAGTTAAGCCGTATTGGTTGTCACTGACCGAGTCTAAGAAAGCTGATACGTCTGGCTTGACCTTCCATAAAATGAGGATATCATCTATATATCTCTTGTATATGATGTTAGAGAGATGGAGAGGGAGGATTTTTTCTTCTAGTTGACGTATTACTAATTCACATAAGTCCCCTGCAACAGGGCTCCCTATCGGTACACCCCTAGATTGCATATACATTGTGCCTTTGAATTGAAATAACGAGTTGTAGCATAACAGGTGCGTCATCTCTAAGACTTGTTGTTGGAGGTTAGCATTATTCACTATTCTGAATAAGAGATCCCTGAGGGCACAAAATGTTGGAGGTAGAAGAATTGATGGGTATAATGATGTGGGTATAATGTGCCCTCAGGGATCTCTTATGAATGACATTTTCATATAATAGAAATACAGTAAACTCCCCACTAAATTAGATTATAGGAGATGAAGGTTGTCCAAGTTAGCAAGGTGTTTTCTCCAATGACATGGAAAACAAGAATGTTGATATATAATACAGTAATTTATTACAATTGGCTCTATACAGAAGTTTTACTGAGCTGAGATTATACTGCTGAATTTATTACAGGAAATGAGGCAAAAAAATTTTATGACAATATACAGTAAATAGTAACATACAGTCTTTAGTAACTTACCAACTACAGTAATGTAATGCATAGTATTGCAGAAACTTTAATGATTGTTTTTGATATCTGAATCATAATTTTTCTATTGTCAAGAAATTTTAAATTACTGTTTCAAAAAAATTTGTTCAAGTTATGCAAAGTCCAAGTTAGTGGGGTTTACTATATTTATTGTAAATCAGATAAACATTTTATCATAAATAGGATAAAAATAAAATTAAAATTGTAAACAAAAAGGAATCTTCTAATAAAAATATTTAATACAGTAGAGCATCGATTATCCAAATATCGATCAACTGAAAGCGTTCCAGTTGGCAAATTTAAATTTCTGCTAGTGCTGTGGCGCTGCAATATTTGGCTATGTCTTGGACTACTCCAATATTATTTTGTTGGTGTGCGCGTTTTAGCTGGCAGCACTGGTGCAACCATGAAAGGGTACGTAAGGACGTGCCAGGATTTGAACGAATTTCAACATGGGATAGGTTAATATATTTTTTCATACATAATTGGTTATCCGAAAAATTGATTATCCGAACGACCCAGTCCCAAATTGTTTCAGATAATTGATGCTCTACTGTAATTTCATTTGGAATTGAGAAATATATTGTCCAGTATTTCTCTTTAAATATGATATAAGTCAGGGGTGGCCAACCTTTATAAAAAGCTTGCATGCCATATATTAAGCATACTTAGCTTTAAAGATGTTTGTGTGTGCCAAAGTTTTAGACTTCGAATTAAAATATTTAAATAAATTAAACAAATATTCTTGCTTTAATTAGAGTAAATGCAAAAAAGCTGATTGAAAAAAAGGACGATTAGGTGATAAACTGAAACGATGTTTGAAAAAGACGCATGATAAACCAAAATCATATGTTACAAGGGCCATTCTTTTTCAACCTCCGATGGTCCATAAAACAAAGACAAGTTTAAATAACAAAATTAATTTATTACCAAGAGTTAGATACAAACATGGTTACTTTTCGACATAATCTCCATGAATATTGAAGAATTTTTCATATCTGTAAATGAGTTTTGCAATCCCATCTTCATAGAATGTTGCCACCAGTGACTTGAGATGGGCCTTACCGTTGTTTTGAAGATTGTCATTAGTCTCGAACCTCTACCCTCCTAGCCACTTTTTCAGTTCAGAAAAGAGGTGAAAGTTTTCACATATTAAAGGTGTGTGAAAACTACCACCTTTCAGACTTCCAGCCAGCTTGAAACTTTTTAAACACCCAGCATATAGCCCTCATTTAGTGCTGAGCGACTTCCACCTCTTTCCTGAACTTAAAACGTGGCTAGGAGGGCAGAGGTTTGAGACTAATGACAATCTTCAAAACAATATTTAGGCCTATCTCAAGTCACTGGCAGCATATATTCTATAAAGAGGGGATTGCAAAGCTCGTTTACAGATATGACAAATTCCTCAATCTTTACAGTGATTAGGTCAAAAAATAACCATGTTTGTACCTAACTTTTAGTAATAAATTCATTTTGTTATTTATACTTGTCTTTGTTTTATGGGCCATTGGAAGTTGAAAAAAACTGCCTACATACATTCTGTGCCAGATGATTTCTCCCGAAGTGCCACTTTGGGCACACATGCCATAGGTTCACCACCCATGATATAAGTACACCTATCTCTCTTTTTGTACAGTGGATACGTTCCAAAAAATGTCATG